CAAGAAGACAGGAGAGTGCCACAACTCTAGCAAAAATTTCATGATTTTCTTCTGACACTGGGAAATTGTAGACACTGGTGAAATGTCTTGGGCCGTTTGGTGTTAGGCCAGCATAAGGGGTCCGGGCATCTCCTGGCTCACATCTCAAGGTTTACTGAAGACACTGAACTGGAGCAGCTGATGTCTCATTAGTGAATATGAAAACAGAGACAGGAGCAGCCGAGATATGGAGATTCACCAAAAGCATGGTAAAGGGGAGGAGTCTTGGTGACTCATACCCCTAAGTACACAGAACCAGCAGAGAATATCACCTAAATGTTCACACCAGTATCAGCAGCTGTTCACTGAATATATGTACATGTGTAAATATGTTTGGGAATCCTGTGGAAACCAGTTCCCTATTTCTCTATTTTCTGGTAGTGACCACATCAGAATCCTGTCCAGGCTGTAGCCTGGTCTTGAGCCCTATGCAGAATTGGATAAGCTTTAGGACGCCCACGAGCCTAAGCAGGATAAATGATTGAAAGATGGATGGATGGATGGCGGATGGATGGATAGATGGATGGCGGATAGATGGATGTATGGATGGATAGGCAGATGGATGGATGGATGGGAGATGGATGGATAGATGGGCGAATGGATGGGTGGATGGATGGGATGGATGGGAGATGGATGGATAGATGGGTGGATGTATGGATGGATAGGTGGATGGATGGATGGGATGGATGTCTTAAATGTTCTTACAGTATGTTGCACATATAGTCCTTGAATAGTCTTTTTAGGTTCTTGCTTTATTAGAAGTTATTGTGCATCTCCTGCTCCCATACTGCTTACAATGGTACCTGGGCATTCAATGGAAGCTCAGTCTAGATAACCTCAGTATGAAATGGCCAGAAATATTGCTGTAAAGGTCTCTATGTAAGCTGGTAAATCAGGGGTGGGGGGCAATCTTATCTGCAAAGGGCTGGTGTGTGTGCAGGTTTTTGGGATCACCTGTAGACCAGCTGTTCAAAGCCAGGTGTGAGGACTCTTCAGCCAATCAGTCCTCTAATTAGTGATGTAAACCCACATATGCAGTGGCCCTTTTTGCATAAGATTGCCCCCCCCCCCATTGGGATTGGGAAACACTGGTTTAGGGGGACGGTGAACTGACTTGTACCCTCCTTCAGCACAGATGCACGCAGAAGCTCCTCCATGAGAGCTCCATCAGTGCTGCCTCACACTGCCAAGGCTCTCAGATCTCCCCCAGGTTTCTCCTGCTGCAGAAGCTCCTCCATGAGAGCTCCATCAGTGCTGCCTCACACTGCCAAGGCTCTCAGATCTCCCCCCGGTTTCTCCTGCTGCAGTGCCCAAGGCCCCGGGGCTACATCCACAATTCTCATATCATGTGACCTCCCGTGTGACCACTGCCTCTGAGCACCAAGGGCACGCTGAAGACTTGCAGAATTCCACTCCTGGGCCAAAGGCCGCCACCCAGCCTAGAGCCACTTGTTGACTCCCCAAGGTTTCTGGGAAAATTGCTAATTAGCCTCTTCATGTGTGGCAGTAGGATTCCATGAAGGCAACCCATTCCCACCAAAAGCCATCTCTATATCAACCGGCTGGGGTGCAGAGTTTGCTTCCATCATTCCCTATATTTCCAGTGCAGCCTCATTCTGCACAACAAAAGAACGAGAGAGAGAGAGAGACAGAGGAATGCATAGCTGAGAGTGTTCTGAAGGATATAGCAAGATGTCATGGCTTCTTCGCCACCATTTTGTAACATGACACTGTAAATCGCCTCAGGAGCCACGGAGCAAGTGTGCAGGTCACAGGCTGAGGCTTTCGCTGGAGGACAATAAGCTCCAGGCCACGTCTGAGGCACTTTAACTGGTGCCCTATCATTTATAGCTACATGCTATGGATATTTTATATGGTCCTGACCTTTGGGACCGAAATGAATTCATTCTCATGATAGATACAGTGTCAACCCAGCCGTGATTGTTCTCCTCGTCTCTAATTAGACCTTAGAATAATCAATGTGGTGATCACATGTCGTGCTCAGGGTCACAGGGGTCGCGAGATGTCAATGCTGCTCTTGTCACATGACTCAGCACCACCCCACACACCGGCTGCGTGCTTGATTAGAGCTCAGTTAGAGCCACACCTGTGGGCCCCGAACATCCACACCCATCGTGCCCCCAGCAGACATCTTTGCAAACCTGCCAGTCTGCAAATCCATGACGCCACACAGCTCCCAAATCCTCCTTCTTTGGCACCCCCCCATGCTTCCACGGTGCACCACTGCACCTAGAGGAGACAGATTCCAGGCTGGCGCGCTAGCAGCCGGCCATACCCTGCTCACACGTCCATGCGGCTGTGGATTAATGAGAGACACTTGTCTCCGCTGCTGCGGCAACACCGCAGCCGTTTCCATGGCAACACCGCACCACACTAGCTCGTAGCAGGGCTGAGGGGTGGCACAGTCTAGCGGCAAAGGAGGCTGGCCGTGACCAGAGGGCCAGCGGAGAGCAGACAGCAAGACAGAAGCAAGAGCACCGTCGTAACTCCCATCCTTCATAACAAGCCTATCCAGTAGGAGCTGAATATCAAACAGATGCCAAGGCACAACATGTGACCATACAGTGAATGTGTCACACCTCAAGCTGCAAACACTGGGGAAGAAACAGTGGTGGAATACATCCATTCTACCCCAAAGGCATTGCAGCTTGCAAACGTGCGGCTGAGCAGGGTAGGATGCTCTGTCAGTGATCAGAAGGTCGCTGGATCAAATCCCAGACTTGGCAGTGTGATTTCACCATCGGGCCTCAGAGCAAGGCCTGTAATCCCCAATTGCTCCAGGGACTGTTGGACCCTGCATGTCCCTTTGGCCAAAGAATCTGGTAAATAAGCAAAACATAGAGACAAAGATTTATATCAAAATAGCAGGATTTCGGCAGGCTTCCCTATCATCAAAAGTTTTATTTAGTCATAATTCAAAGCAATTTCCATCAAAACATGAAAAGCACTAAACAGATATGTACACCGAGGTGTGTTCTTGGTAAATATTATATCTAAGTCATTGTAAAGATGACAATGATAATGATGATGACAATGATGCTGATGATGACACATGAGCTATGGTGACAGGGGTCACATGACTCACAGTGCCAGTATTAGGGATTCAGGTGCTTGGTCGCCCTGCCACTGAAACACAAAGGCACAAACCTGCCCCTGTACCACCTTCAGGCCTTCATCAGGAAATCGATCCTGGGAGTTTCCTGAGTGTGGCGGCTGCATCACAATACACTGAAATGGGTGCAGCAGGTCCTTGCCCATGACAGTGAAGCACATCAGGGAAACTAATATTAGCCTGAGGCTTAAAGTATCCAGCCCCATCTGTGGCAGAGGTTTGTTTTCCACAACCCACGCTGCCCTGGAAATGACATGATAAGTCCACGATCCACAGTTGAATCAGAGGACAGAAGAAGAATCTGGCAGAGAAAGAAAGCACTCTGCAGAAGCAGAACAACCAGCTGAGTGTGAGAAAGCGAGATGGGATGGAGGAGTTTTAGGCCAAACGGCCCAGACACAACAGGGGGCAGGTGCGGTACGCAGTTGTCTTGTGTAAGATATGGCCCTGCACCAAGTTCAAAGCCATGGTTTAAAGGTCTAGGAGCCATATATCTCCAATAAATGTCCGTGAACAGACATGGAGGCGGGGGGTAATTCCACAGAAAGCTCTACAAATGTGTATGGGGCTCAGATCACACGGTTTAAACACCTGCGCACACTACAGACATAACGGCATTTGACAGACAGCGAGAGAGAGATGCAGGAATGCATTGCTGTGATCAATGCAAGAGCAAGAAGAAACACCAGGAAATGATGGGCAGTTTAGTTTTAATGATTTTATGTGTTTCCATGGCAACTGATAACCCGATGTATGAAGAATCCTTTGGTAATGTTTATTAAGGGTTTAAAAAGCGTCAACTGGGCAGATGAACATACAAAATAGCTACATAAAGCTCTCTGAAGCCCTCTCCCCGATCACTCATCATGTAAGACAGCACTCTCATCATTAGCAGTAAGTCATTAGACTGATGCAAGTGAGATAGTGATCAAAATGGAAATAAAAGTAACTGGCGAAAATCTGTCAGTACTGAGCATCAATTTCCAAAGACAGTCCTTTGAATCGAGTTACAGTTAGACTCCCTGCAGTTTGAAAAATCAAAGCAAATCTTGACAAGAAAGTCATTTCCGACCGCTTCCGTTTTTAAAAATTATTTGGCAATGCGATAGTCATTTCTGAGCGAGATGCTTTCTTTTGTTGCTCTATTGATCGATTTACACAATAAAAAATCTGTCCCGTCTTTCTCTCCTTCCTGGCTCCTATGTCCTCTTCTCCCTCCCTTTATCGCTCAGTCTCTTTCCTTCTATTTCCCTCCCTTTCTTCCTCACTCTATGTCTCTCTGTTTCCTCTCTCCCATGGCCATCTTTGTCCCCCGCCTGTGTGCTTGGCTCGGGATTTCCTCCAGACACAAAGGTCTTGCTCAATGTCAGAGAGATAAGCAAGGCCACAGCATTTGGCTCATTCAATACCCTGGTTCTGTGCTTCTCATGGGGCCTGTCTGTCCCAGGCGGCAAGGGAGGGTAGAAGAAAGACGAGACTGTATTCACCCCCACAGACACACAATTACTGTACAAACCCAACTACTAATGCCACACGTACCCCTCCCCAGCCACGCTGACCATCCAGCCTCATGCTATCCGCTAACCATCCAGCCTCATGCTATCCGCTGACCATCCAGTCTCATGCTATCCGCTGACCATCCAGCCTCATGCTATCCGCTGACCATCCAGCCTCATGCTATCCGCTGACCATCCAGTCTCATGCTATTATGTCAGATTGACTCCTTACTGAAGAACTCATTTGCGTATCATATGGAAACCCTTGGCTGTCAACAATCGACAGGAAATATCTGACAGCTGTGGAGAGCAAGGAAGACGCAAGATCTTACCTCCCCGTAGTCCGTGGTGAGGACGAGCGAGCCATCGTCGCAGGAATTGACCGTGGAGGCCAGGAGCTGATCCTTGTCCCGCACCCAGACGCGAGCTCCCTGCAGCAAAGAGGCAGAGGAACCAATGATTAATGAATAGGCTTCAGCAGCCATGGGGTCAGAGTGATCAGGGGGGGGCACATTGGTCATCTAGTTTTGTTTTTATTATTGTTATTATATATTTATTTATTTAAGTGATCCTTTATTGGTTGTTTATTTGTTTGGAGTTGGTGATTGGTTAAAACTGAATGGGGAGACCAATCCCACATGCACCTGTTTTTGCGGGATTTTATACCATTGTGTATTTTTTGGTATGCGTATGCGCAGACTATTTCCTATATATATACGATTTTACTAGCCCGATTGCCGAGTTATGAGCCTGATTGCCCCTGAACTCGTTAATCTGGCGCTGCTTGTAACTACCGCTGTGGTTCCCGTTCCCTGTCCTGTTGCTGTCTGGTATTATAAATGCTGTGTGACTGCATGACAACAAACTGCCCTGCTGCACCGCTATAGAACAACAGAAATCAGTGGCTGATTCTTAATGGGGCTCGCCGATGCCACCTAGCTGCCACGAGTGAGGCATGACTTGGGCCATCCGCTACATTTGGCAACCTCCCATCCCCCATAGCAGGAAAGCGAAAATGTTGCCCAAATTTTTCACCCACTCAGAACATTAGAATGGGGGGATCAATATGATGAGGAAACTCAATGCAAGGTCAGAGCTCATGGAGAACGATCCTCATTAAGTATTAAACGGCACGGGGGGGGGGCACAGGGAGGGGTATGGCAAACACTACAAGCTATATTCTGTAGTTCGCTTAACACATCAGTAATGATGAGAAGCCAGACAATCAAATGATATCTTATCCATCATTCTCGCCGAAGGGTTTCTCTATTGCAGGCTTGGACACATGGTCGTGGGGGTCGAATATTTTTCTAGCGTTACAGTGGTGGGATGGGCAGTGCTTCAGAGCTGTAGTGGGGGCAAAACCCAGTGCCTTCATTTCTTTAAGAGGGCTCACTTTGAAGTGTAATCCACCCCCGTGAGCCGCTGCAGCCAGTGGCTGCTTCTCGTGGGTTAATCAGGCTGCAGTGGAATGGAAAGACGGCGAGGAATAGCAGCGATTTAAACATGAGGGTGAGATCAGAGCAGGTCTGCTCCATCCTTCTGCCCCTCTTAGTGAAAACACAAGCTTTCCCACTCCTTGCCAACTCAAGGCACAACAGAGTAAGGACACCCACTCGCACAAATTTAAACACCTGCGCAAAAATGAACTGAAATGAGGGCCATACCCGTATGTTATTGTAATGCAAGTAGACAGCGAGCACAGTAATCATAATTCTGAATTTGCCCTTCATGGATCCAGGGACCTCAGCTGCTGCCAGAAAAGCATAAATACTCAACTCACAGAATTCTCTGTCCCGTTGAAGTCATTCTGCAGCATCAGAACTGAGTGTTGATGAAGGAATATTGACTGTGGACATCATGTGAAAGGACGTACAACAAATCCATTAGGTTTAGGCTTTTGGTCAGAAACAGTAACAAAGTGGTCTTTCAGGTTCAGGCACATTCTGCTTAGACTTCCCGAGTTGGCCTGACCCAGGACAGGAAGTTACCATTTCAGTCCAGCTTCTGTTGAAGTGTTTCTGACTTCATACTAGACGACAAACTGATGTTACCACAGTGTGTTAAGTTGGGCCAGAATCTACCGAAGAAACAGTTCAAATAAGGAAATGCAGGGCTTCCCTGAAAAGATCCACATTCCAGCAGTATTTAGAAACGTATTTTATTAATGCAATTGGTTGCTGCCGCTGTCGAGCTAACTTGAGACTCACAATTGCATTATCAGTTATACAGCTGATTGACACAAGGAAGGAATTTCGTGGAGGAGATTTTGAATGACTAAACCGGTAAGCTGTTTAGTCATGAAAAAGCAGATGAAAATGTGACAATTGTCTATGTGGGACTCTGTGAAGGTTAAAAACCATTGTGACCAGAAGGTTGCAGGTTCAAATCCCTCTGTTTGAACAAGGGACTTTGCCTTTTATCTTCTCATGTGCTGGCATAGCTTTCTACAGCACCACGTGCTCTTCTTGAGATCCTCAGATGTACTCAGGGCAGAACATCTGGGATGCTTCCCCAAGAGGGAGTTTTGGGTGTTTGCGGGTTTGGTGGTTAATTAAAATTAGCCTCAAACTTGTACTTGTCCAGTCTCAGTTCCTGTAACAAGACAGCGGCAGATCCTCTGGTTTTGGATTTGAGGTGACCTAAATTAAAGGTGAGCATTTCACAGAATGGAATGGCAGGTAGCCTAGTAATTAAGGACACAGACTTGTATTATAAGGGTTTTGTACTCTTGAGTTTCAATTCCTTCGCCAGTAAAATGACTATAAGGCATCAGCTAAAAAAAAGGTAAATCTTACCCAGAGCCCCTTGCTTTTAAAGATGTGGCCTTCACCTCTACACATGGACACATGGGTTAGCTGCGATTTGCAGACCCTGCATGTCCGTCTCACATGGCCCATTGGAGAGATCTCTGCCAAAAATTCCATGCAAAGAATATGCAGCCAGTGTCTGAAGCTGTGTGGAATAAGGAAGTGGAACACGTAGGCAGTGGAGGGGGGGGTTCAGGAAACTCATTTTAACAGCGTATTTGCACCCTTTTTCTGTGGGATTTTTTGAACAGTAAGTAGAAGCAAGTGGCTGCAGGGGATTGTGGGAAGGAAAATGCTGAGACCTGCTGGGAGATGAAAGCCCTCACTCATGACTTCACCCCGACCCCCTTAAACCCTCAAGCAGATCCAACGCTGCCATGCTACAAAGAGATAACCACGTTAAAATCACCCCCATCTCCATTGCTGAAAAAGCGCCTTGAGCTGGCACCTCCAGGGCTCCCTGTCACTAAATGTGACATCTGACCAGCGCTGTTCTGCCCCAAGGGAACAGCTCCTTGTCCCTGTCCCCTGTGTTCTGGGGGAGGGAGAGCAGGGGCTACCCTGGTAATAATGGCTGCCATGAGCACGCCCGCTTCGGGGGAGTCGCTGTCAAAGCCGGCTGAAGGTGATCCCTTCAGAAAGGACCTTGCGTGAAATAAAAGGACTGAGGGTATCTGAAGAGCGTTTCCTGGCCACTGACACTATGTGGCAGACTCAGGAACACCCAGAAAGCTGCAGAAGCTGTCTTGAATTACCATCACCTTGCTAAAAAATGCCTCTCCTAAATATTCAGGTGTCTTTTCCGCACTGCCCTCTATGTCCCCGGGCCACTTGAGCCTTCGAAATGCCCTGAACAAGCGGAAGCTAATCGACAGAGTCTGTCATCGCATTACTTGATCCAATTAGACTGGTGACCCATCTCCACGCTCTCGGGCTTCGGGGCACAATGCTGGAAAGACCGACCAGCAGCAGCCGAAGGACGGACCCGGGGTTGTCCAACGTGAGGGGGCAGAGTCCTGGATTGCTGTGCCGTCAACTTTCCCTGCTCCGTTTTCACAGAAACTCGTTTCCTGAACTCTGTCTGCGGCTAAGGCACCCACGGCTAATCACATTACAATGACCACGCAAAGAACTCAAACACAGGTGATCACCAATGTCACCCCTCCAGGAGTAGAGGTGTTACTAAAGAACCACCCTTCTGATTCAACCCCAACAATAACATGTTGAAGACTTCTTATGCTGGACAAGCATTTGGGTTGAGGTATCTATCTCCTATCCTATGACCAACAACAATTTCGCTTACAAGCTTATGTGACTGGCAGCTATTTTATTCATTTATTCTTATTTTCAGCTTTGTGAAAATGCTAACCCCCACCCCCAGCAAGGATTTTTTACCACGTGCATTACACACCAGTCTCAGCATTATGCTGTATGGGAATATTCTCCATAGTTACCACGATGACATCATTCCCAAGCACCCCTGCTCACATCAGGCCACACCCACCGACGAACAGAAGCCCCCCCATCCCGAGTTCTCCCACGCGATTACAAACAGAGGGATGTCTCCCAGGACTGCAGCAGTGGCCGCCAGCCAGTCAGACCGTCCCTTTCACGCCGCCGCGTCGCTTTGCACGCTTCACTCTGCACGCTTCACTCTGCACGCTTCACTCTGCACGCTTCACTCTGCGTTCTCAAGTCACTAGCTATCTTAGCACACGGACGTTGCGTCAGTATGAGTTGCGTTATTTTTTTGTTTTTTTGCTTGGATTACATTCGACACTGATAAAAATTACAGATATATCGTCCCTCCCAAAATTTCTGGGGGTCTGAAATTGTCAGCGGCTCCCTGACAATTTCTGTTGTTCTGATATTCAGTGGCGGTAAACCACCTTCCAGACATTATAACACAATCTAGGTGGGGGGGGGGGGGGGAACTGAAAAAAAAAACCGCGGTAATACCATAATACCACCATACCACCCAAGCCTAGCCAGCATCCCAGCCCATCCCGGCTGTCTGTTATCTTCCTCTCTGAAATGAATACGCCTGATGCAGAATGTCTGACAATGGTTAGTAACCCACTTACCAGGAATCTGGTGTATTTCATGTTTTTGTATGTTGAGTACAAACATGTATTTCTATATGTGCTGTACAGTGGCCATGAAAGAATAATTAATTTTACTGTTCCCAGTCCCCCCCCCCCCCTGGTAGTTGCCCAAGGTATTTTTTTTGTAGAAGTAGCCCTCACTGTGAAAAAGGTTGTTGACCCCTGGACCCAGGACACCACAGATTACCATTCATGCAGGGTGTGGGAGGTATCACAACTAATCCTGAGTCTTCTGAAAACATCTGGAGAGACCTTGGAGGGGAGGGGAGCAGTCGAGTCATGTTGATAGAGAGGCTGCAGATCAAAGCCCCTGTGATCCCATCTCTCGGCTTGGCTTACGACACCAGAAGGCAGCGTGGTGAGGGAGGTAAGGCCAGGCGGACCTGCTGTGGTGTAGCGTAGCTGAGGCTGGGCCGTGACCACAGTGACCCCCATCTCAGTGCCGTCCAGGTGTGGGCTGGTCCCCTTGTGTCTGACCCACAAAGACCATCAGCTTTGAAATCCAATACCCATATA